TTTATTTTTCTGATCTATATTATTTTACGTGCTATTTGAAAAATCTTATTTATGAAATACGCCATTTTTGTTTATTTTTGAAGCCCCTATTAAACTATTTCTATTCTATTTAATTTTTCCTATTTGCATTGATTTAACTTGAGTATAACTACTATTACTTTATCTTTTAACTTCCTATTAGTGCCGATTTAGTTTAAATATAACAATCAAGTTATTTATATAAACTAACAAATATTCAAGTCTTATTTTATTTATTCGTGTTAAGGTATTACTTTATGGTATTCGAGAATTCATTCGTAATTACGATAACAGTTATAGGCTTTTGATTTTAAAGATTTTTAGACTAGAAGAAATGAAGCTCAAAAGTGGTTACAGGTAAAAATCCTGACAAACAAAATCCCGACAAAAATTGACCGGAACCATGGTTAATACGGGCTAGGCTTGTCGGGATTATGACCCTGTCGAGATTTTGTTTGTCGGGATTTTAGCTTGTAACCCTCAAAAGTTCTTGATGATTCGATAAAAGAATATCGCCACTATATTTTTTATTTAAACATTTAGTTTCACAAATATGGAGTCACCATAGGAAAAGCTTTTCGAGAAAACAAGTGTCATATAAAAAAAAAGATCGACATATTACACTAAATTAACATTTTGGACCACCATATGAAGGCCTGTTAATTATAAGCTAAATTTTGACAACATATTTAATATACACTTATTAATATTGCATGTATAACCAGATCTAGGCCCTATTTTTCTTAATTCCTAATGCATTTATAAATGCTTTTTCGACAACCACCTATTGAAGAAATCCAAACTAGAACGAGGTTGATCGTATGGAACCATATGTCCCGCTTCAAAAACTCTTAAAAAAGTAAGTCCTTTGTAAGTTCTAGATTCACCCGCATACACTGATTTATCACCTTTGACCTTCCAAGGTCTAGTTTTTGCATCATTGAATCCTTGTTTGCCACTCCAATCTAACTCTTTAGTCCATGCATCGTTCCCTGGAGAATCATAATGATGATATGGAATTAACTATTTGAAGAACAAATGTAATACATTCAAAAGAAATATAAACATACCAATCCAATTACAGATAAAATCTGCATCACCCGCATATATTAAAATACGTATACCATCATCCAAAAGAGGTGGAAGTAGAATATGAAAAGGTTTCATTCTTAACAAAACAAACCATGTTAACATCCAGTATGAAATGATAATATCTTAAAAAATAATGCAACTCTTACAGATCGCCAGCCATTTGAAATCTAAAAGTAACCTGCGTGTTACAGATTCTATACCTCAACCAAGGGTTTGCACCTAGCTCTTCCCTAATATCTCCCCTGTTTAAATATTTTTCAATATCATCTATGCCTGGATAACACAAATCCCCACCATCACATTGTTTCCTTACATCATAAGGATTTCTGTTAGTTGAATAATAAGGAAGAACGATATGTTTGTTACAATACATTGAAGAAGTTAAACAAGTTGTAGTAGCACCATCATAACATCTTTTAATCATCTTAGCACAAGTCGCATAAGCATCACGCATTTCGTTGCAAGTCGAAATATCGAGTACTGGACCGTAGGATGAATTGCAAGCCATGTCTGGATAATATTTATATTGGACCAACGGGTCTACTATACCGTTACCTATC